TAATACTGTATGTGCGTTTGCGAATGCGAATTTATTTTAGCCCTGATTGCAATTTTATTGCTTGCGAAGTGATAGGATTACATAAATAAGTTCACAAATAATTACAATTTATTTTAAATTAATTAATTTTTTTATCCCTATGATAATAATTAGAGGTAAGAGATTTTCGGATTTTTCCACAAATCTTCAAAGGGCGCTTCTGACTGAGCCGATCTCTGGGTAATCACTTGCATATATAATAAGATATTCTGGAGTAATAAAAACTGGCGTTGTAAAGTTACTCTCCAAGAGGGGGCGGGTTGCTTAATCCCTATATATTAATCAGAGACCTGCAAGACTGGCCCGAAACCCTGCCCAGAAAGGAACTTAAAAATGAAAAATATTTTTACAAATCCGATACTTTACAAAACTCGAGTTGAGCCTATTTTTAACAAATAAATTTAAATGCTGTCAACTAATTAATAATTATGCTGAGTGGAATATCTTCGAAACACGTCCGTAATGTATTTGTTATACTTGGTACAATGTATAATAATTTAATTCTATTTTTTCATTCCCACTAAGGCCAATTTGTAAGAAACTGTCCAGTGGCCCCTCCTACAACATGGCGGGGGGGGGGGTGTACTAAGCAACTGCTTCTTAAAATTTAAATGGGGGTACTTTTATTTAAAAAAAAAAATTTATTTTTAAATTTTATTTCCTTTTTTGTTTTACCACACCCATCCATAACCAAGATTTTTTGTCTTATCATAAAATTATTTTTCTAATTTCAAAATATACCCAGAAATATTAACCAAAAAAAAATACGAATGCTTAATTAATAATTGCACACGGCATAATAAAAGAGATAATAAACGGACAGACCATATTAGAAAAAGACATGGCGGGCTAAATATTAACGATAACGATATAAAGATAAACTTTGAAATAGTAGCTTTTAAAGATATTAAGCTAATTACAGATTCGGAACCTCCTCAATTTGTATATTCAAAAAAAATGAATGAAGATAAAAGTAGGGAGAAAAAGGGATTATAATCCAATTTGTTTTCTTATTATCTATTGTCATATAATAATATAAATATTCTCCTTGAACCCATGAAAAATGAGATTGAATTTAACGGGTGTTTTTCAATTATAGTTGATGGTACTTCAAAATCAGAAGCAATAGCATTATTGGCAAAATATATTGAAAATGATAACGGGACTGGTCTTGATGTCTTAATTCCATGAATCTACCCCTCGAATTCTTAGTTGAGCAAAGCTATTCTGGTGCTTCAAACATGAGTAACAGGATCATAGGAATACAGGCTTTGATTAGAGTTGATCTCAAAGACAGCTTTTATTTGGTGTTATTGTCATCGATTGAATTTAATTATTGTTCAATTATGCCTATCTCTAAAAGAACTAAGAAATGTTAGGGATCTTAGACGAGATTCACGTGTATTTATTTCAATGGTGTTAAAATATATACAGTGCTCAAAGCATGTAAGACTGATATATTGACAAAATCGCAATGATTTATACGCATCAAGAATACACTTGGTAATATTATCTTATTTGTTTAGATTTAAAATATTTATTTTATATTTATAAAAGCTGGCTATCATCTTATAAAGGTATTGTAAAATACTTTTACTTTATAATGCCGTGAGGGCAGCTTTGATAAATTTAAAGGAGTTCACTTTGTGTTTGGGATAACATATTGTTGATAACAAGCTTGGCTTTTACAAAATTGCAAACCATTTCGAAGGATATAGGGTTTGCAATAAATCAAATTCAATTGGCAAATGATTGCCTGAATAGTTTGAGAAGTATAATTAGTTTTGGGCAATGGATGACATAGTCTTCATTGTCGCTCATGTAAAGGTCGAATTGTAAGACATAATCTATGCAATTCGATTATTCTTAGAGCTCTTAGATCTGCTCAAATCCCCTCCACTCTTGAACCATCCGGTCTTTTCAGATCTGATGGGAAACGGCCTGACGGTATTTCGCAAATTCCTTGGAAGCGCGGTCAATTCCTGGTCTGGGACTATTCTTGTATTGATCCACTCGCTCCATCAAATCAAACAGTCAATATACTCGAGAAAAAGGAGACACTCAAAATAGCGAAATATTCCGAAATCTCTCAAGAATATATTTTCATCCCCATTATTTCCACTACCCTTACTAATTTTGGGAAATATGCCTTATCCTTTTTCAAGGAACTCGGCTCCCACATTCGTCAACTAACCGGTGAACCCCGCGAGGGCTTCTTCTTAAGGCAAAGGCTCTCCATCGCAATACACAAGGCTAATTATATTAGCTTCATAAGCAGTCTATCCCCACAAGATTATCCTTCCTAACCTCAATATATTTTTTTAATTTTTTTTTTAACACCGTCACAAACATATCCTCCAATACTATATTTATACATTTTTTTAAAATGTTTTTTTTATATGTATATAAATATATATACAAATATTAATTATTTAATAGAATTAAATTAGGTGAATTACAAATTTATAAATTATAAGATTAAGATGATATTTAAGAAACAATAATAAAAACAATTTTATATAATAAAATTTAAATTATTGTCTTTTATTATTTTTTAATCCTAATAGATAATAACACTGAATTTTTTAATGTTTTTTCAAAGGCACAAGATTTTTTCAAGGAGAGAAATCTACCTTTTGATTTTGAAAGTTCTAGAATTACAATCCAAAAAAAAGGTATATATACTTTCATTATTAAATATAATATTTTATTTAAGCTATAAAACTAGTTTATGCTGTATTTGATTTGTTCAATATGTAGTTTACTTAATGATTCAATGATGAATCGACAAGATTTTTAAATCAAACATCATTTTTTACAAGGAAATGGCGGAAAAGACATTCGTTAAGGATGGTATTGAAGATAGAGAATCTTACCATTTAAATTCAAGTCAAGTTTTTGAAAAAATGCATAAGTTTCGAGATATATATATTATGGCTAAAACGAGAGATGTAATATTACACATGACCTGAGGTTAAAGAATCTAAAGATTTGTCAGATTCTGAGAATTGTCAATTTATTTTATTAAAATATTTATATTAATACATTATTTAGCTTCTTCTTTTTCTGATGATTCTGAGACTTATGATTCAGACTGGAATTCGTTTATTTTACCTTTTCGTTTAATTTTAAATTTTCTTTATCATTTTATATAAATATTTATTAATCATTCCTAATGACTCCATGTACTGCTGAAAGGATGTCAAAAAAAATTAACTGTTATTCGGAAGGGATATTTTTCAGAGGGGGTGGGGGGTTACGGTAGGAATAACGGTGCATTATTTTCAAATAAAGTTCATTTTATTTTATAAATATTATTAACTTTAATAATTTAAAATTTTCTCATTTTATAAATAACACACTTTTATTACTTTAATTAATTTGAAATACATTTAAATGGCTATTTTAGACATTATATTCTGCTACACCTTTCATTTGTGAAATAGATATTCCAATTTCTGTAGAAACATCTTCAGACTAATAGGTCCTTATACTGAGAACTAGGGATGTACCGATATTTTTTATCAGATCGGGCCGATATTTCATCTATAATAAAATATCGGTTATCGGCCAATATATTTACCGATCCAATCAGATATAAAATGGCGTCTTTAACAAATGTTATAAATTTTTTTAAAAAAGTTATATCTAAAATCATTTATTTTTATAAATAAAATCGAAATCCATATTTTTTTAATAATAATTAATTAATAAACATTATGCCATATTGTTATTTTTTTGCGCATTCTGTTTATAAAAGTGTGCGATAATTTCTTCAGAATCTGTTTTTAGTGAAGCTGGTGATATTGACTTACCATCGCCGCAGGCTGATTTCTTATAAATTGGAAATTTTGGTATTTCTAAAAAGAAATCTTTGATATATTAATGTTAAATATTATTTTAAATATTTATTCAAACTTCATAATATATTTGTTTATTACTTATTATATGTATATAGATTAATGATGTTACTTATTATATAAAAGTGATTTAACAATAAATATTTTATATACTTTTAGAATTGCAATAGAATTGAATATAAACTATAGCTGATCAATATAATATATTTAAATGACATAAGTTATGGTATAATTAAATTATAGATGTTATACTAATAAAAAGTATATTACAAATTAAAACCATTGGTATCTTTACAGAATACAAAATTAGATATGATATCGGATCGGTAATCGGCCGATATCAATTTAACATCGAGAATATCGGATCGGCCTCCAAAAAGTGATATCGGTACACCTCTACTGAGAACTAACACGATGACTATTTTGTTGGGTTTTTGTCATATCTGTCGTAACACTTAATATAAGAAATATTTCTTTTTAAGAACATTTGGGGCGATTCAAATAATAATCCTTTTATATGCATATACATGAAATATGCTTCTTTTAATTCTGCGGTTAATTCCTCCTGATAACGTATTCGGGCTGAGCTTTCAGGCCGTTTTGCTAGATTTTAGTGTATATAAAATGCAAGAGTTTTCCATTCAACAAATATTTAATTAAACTTAATTTATCCATAATATGTAATCACTAAGAAATGGTCCGGTGGAAAGACCGTGGTTCGGATTCCAAAAATTGAATGGGTATTTTTTAATTACTGGTAAAAATTGCTGTGCAAATATCTTAATGTAGGGCTGGGATATATATATACTAGAGTTAGGCAATTTAAACATTGGGCGAGTAGATGGGGGGGGGGGGGGGGGTTAAACAGAATTTTTGGATAAATGGGAGGACGGGTGATTATTTTAAAAACAATGAGCGCGGGTGTTTGGGTCAAACCCCCGCTTAGTGCAGACCACTACTATATATTATAATATGTTCTACTAAATATTAAAAAAAATATTATAACAATTTAAATTTTTATTTGTAAAAAAGTCCTATGAGCAAAAACAACTTTAAATATATATTATCTTTTCAGGTGTTAACAATATTTTGTACAATAAGATTGATACAGATTATAATGCGTAGTATTGTAAGAATAAAATAATTTAAATAAATATTTTTAACTAATTATATAAGGTTCAATAATATTTGCGTGATAAAACAATAATAATATAAGTATAACATAAAAATTTTGTTAAAATTATAATGATTAGTATTTAAATATGAGTATGCCAAATTCGGTTGAGCTTAAAAAAAATTAAAAAATCAACGTTACATAATAATACTAGTTATTGAAATTAAATTAAATGTATTGATTGTTAACGATTATACTCTTTATATTATTTTTATGTTATATACAAATTATTATATATAAACTAATATATTATAGTAAAATAGTGTATAGAAATTAAAAAAATTGCATCATGAGATTAAGTTTTTAATAAATCCCATTTATAAATAAAATAATAAGGTGGTCATTATATAAATAACAAACAAAACAATTTAAAATTACATATATTTTCCCCTCGATTTTTTATTCCTTTAATGACGTGATACTTTAGCCAGAAACGTCCTAGAAATTAAGCATCATATATTGCCTATTCCTATCATGTCCCATCTCAAATGATCAATTATTATATTTGATCCCATCGACCAAATTTCTACGATCTCTGGCCTCCTTTTGCTTTTCAAAATGATCTCGTATAGCCCTTTCCTTCTCAATGCGTTCCTGAACTAGATGATCTGATCCACGTATTCCTAGGTCAAAAAATATTTATTAATACACGCAAATATTAAAAAGAGGGTTGAGGGGGATGGGGGACAATTGAAAAATTTTAATAAATAATTATGACAAAAATACTAATATTTTATTAAATCCACTAAATATATATAAAACAATCAATTTTAATATAAAAAGTAAAAAATAAGATAATAATATAAACAATTAATTTTATAAAAGCAATTTATATGTTAAAACAAAACTATATTTTTAATTGATAATCTAAAACATAACAATAATAAAGGGTACAGGGAAGATGGAAAACGCCAGATGAGTACGGTTGCAATCTATGAAAAGAATTACAAGTGTTTTATCATATAATGATTGAGCAAGGAATGAACAAACAAAAAAATCTGCCTGATAAATACCAAATTCATATTCAATTCTGAATAATTAAGAATTTAAGAAACAAACAAGAAAATAAATTTAATCATAATATCCTTTCCCCCCTACCATAGTAAAAATAGAATGTAATGTAAAATAAATATATGGCATTGTGCAAAATGCTTTTTACCTTCGACAAAAGCGACACCGGATTTCCGAGCCGTATTAAACATAATAGCTTTAGGACCAAAACTGTTAAGGTTATATCCAACTTTGGCCATGTTTGTAGCTGCAACCAGGGCGTCTTGGGTAAGGCTACCGGCCTTATGTCCAAATCTGTGTTATAATACATATTATAATACTCTTTTCAGAGTGTTTTTTGCAATAAAAACTTGGAACTCTTGTAAACGCGACAAATTTAGGAACAAAAACCAGCATCCTCTTTAAAAATATATAGTCAGAACCCATTTTAAAATTTTTACGAACAAGTACTAACAAATATTGTTCGATTTATTTTAGTTTATTAATTATTTAATTTTCTTTTGATTACTTTAACAGAGTTTGGAACCAGAACCACATGGTTTAGAAAATACTAAGACCTCTAACCATTTTTTATTTAAACTCCGATTTCCTTAAAAAAACTTGACACATTCGTGTAAATAGCAAGATATATAAATCTATATTAAAATAACATAATAAAAAAAATTAAAATGATATTTAATATAAGTAAACAATTCTAAAAAAATTAAAAATAAGTTTTTTAAAAAACATGGAGGGGGGGGGGGTTATTATTAAGATTCGAGGAACTAAACACTGCGATTTGAGTTGATTGTAACATTTTAAAAGAGGATCCATAATCTGTTGTTCCTATATGATAAATATTAGATAGCTACAATAAAATTTGATTATTTTTTTTTCTCAAAACTATTTTTGTTTAATGTAGTAAGTCATGTATGACTAACAACATCTTTGAAAAAAAATTAAGTAATTATAATGCAACTAATATATTCGATCTTTTCGGGAAATTTCCCAAAATATTTTATTGCAAAAATTATGATTTATAATTTAATTTATATATCTAAATTTTAAAATAATTTTTATTTTTCTCGTGAGTCTTTAAATTTAATTTTTTTTATTAGTGACAATTGAGTGCAACTCTTCAAATTTATAATTTTAAAAGTACAAAAACAGGGGTAAAATGTTAAACATTATATTCTCATACATATAATTAATATGATATATTATAAAATTAATGATATATTTAGATTTGATATATAAGAATCATTATATTTTAATCATACTATATAACTGGTATAATAATTTATTGATGTTTAATTTAAATTAATATGATTGCAATATTTATAGATGCCTCGAAAAACTACCAACATCTGGAAACATTTTATTAAAGATACAGCTAATAACAAAAAAGGGCATAAATATTGTCAATTGACATATAATTTCCCAAATTCAACAAAGATGTCTCAGCATATCAAAAAATGTCAAAGGTATATTAACAGTTTACAATTTAATGAAGTTGATAATAATAATTCTATTGAAGAAGATATTGTAGTATGTATACCAGGTTCCAGTAATTCTAATAATATAAAGAAACATAAATAAAACCATTATAAATACTTTTAAAGAAAATACCAATAATTTTAATAATGTATCAGGTACATCTAAAATTAAAAAAAATTTTGACACTGTAACTGAACAAAATCAAGCACAACTTGACAGTGCTTTGGCATTAGCTATTTTTATGTCAAATTGCCCTTTTAATTTATTGAAAATAAATATTTTACCAATTTTTTTAAAATTAATGCACCCAACCTATAAGATTCCATCTAGATATACAATTAGTAAAACATTATTAGATTTTGAATATAATAAAGTTACGAATATTATCAACAAATTCGATACTTAAAGATTTTACTCTCATTAGCGATGGTTAGACAAACATTCGTAGAGAGTCCATCATTAATTTCATGATTATGACTAATGTTGTTAAATGGAACTCTTGCCTAAGCTTCGAGATTTCGATAATATATGTCTAGACCTTTGTTCCTTCTAGGAGCAAAATCTTGAGACTTCGTAATATTTTTCTGTATGAAATATTGAGTTAGCCGTTTTTAAAAATCGGCTCAAAACGAGCCGTTTAACAACACTAATTATGACTCCAGAACCCATTTTCTTTAAATCCATAGACACAGGATCTAGTGCTCACACTGGTGATTATATCGCATCTGAGCCAATCAAGGTAATTGAAAAATTGGTAGTAAAAAATTTATCTAACTAGTAACTGATAATGGCATATGAAAAAGGCCTGGAGTCTTGTTAAGGCAAAATACAATTATATTGAATGCTTTGAATGTGCCGCACATGGCTTAAATATGCTTATTAAAGATATATGCCAAATAAGTTTTATTGAAAAGATCATCAAAAAAACCAAACAAATAATTAAATATATAAAATTTAATGGTATTTTATTGGCTTTTAAAAAAAGGCAAATATTGAAAGGATATAAATCTTTCTTAAAAATTCCAAGTCCGACAAGATAGGGATGTTTTGTTATAATGTTGCAAAGTATTGTGAAAAATAAGGATTTGCAAGAAATTGCAATTTCAAGTTTATTTATAGACAAACAAAGAAGGCATATTATATTGTACAAAGAAGGATACTGAGATAAATTAGAGTCTGTACTGACATTTTTGGAATTATTTATAACAAAATTATAATTGTAGAATCGGATACAAGATACACTCAATTCAACAACTTTTATTTTTAATGAAAATGATTTGAAAAGTGTTAAAATGCATATTAATAAACAAAAGAAATTTTGTTACCGAGAATCATTATGCAACAAATCTCCTAGATATTATGGTGTGAAATTAACAGACCGCAAATTAACAGTAGCTTTAAATTTAATAAATATTATTTCAGGCTAAATTAGCGATATTTGGAAAAATTTAGCAGAATATCGTTCAAAACAAGGTTTCAATAAAGGAACTGGCATATGGAAGAGCTTCCATACCAAACCACTCCTATAGTTGTAAGGATTGTATACAAATCAACCTCTTTGTCAAGGGTAATAAGATGTTTTTCGATACCAGTGCCTCGTCAGAAAGAGTATTGTTTAATTATTTTATTTTCCCTTAGTTCACCAAATTTAATAAAGTTATTCAATAAAAAAAAATTAAAATGTTTGGTGTATTTTGTGGTTATTTTTTAATTATTCGTTATTTCCCTAATTTTCCCAGAGAAATTTCCCCTGAAACAATTTTCCCGGGAAATTTATATCTCCATTTGTAATTAATTATTTAACTTTAACTACATTAATAAAATATTCTTGTACTGATTATTTTTATATTATTTTAAATTAATGTCAACAAACTTGTATTGCACAATGCGTACCGTTTCGTCTGCTAAACTAGAAGCTAAGGCTGTTCCGGCCATTTCCAGGCTCAAAAATACCGTACTTATACCTTGATTTAGATGGGAAAGGGGCCAAGAATATTGTATAAGTTAAATGAATGAAAGAAAAAAATGCATAAGATGATAAACTATTTTCGTAAATTCGTAAACGTAGTCACTTTAAAAATAATATATAGTAGTTGAAGGGGGGGGGCTAAACATCTCGCCATTGAGTTTTAAAAAATTCTAGATATCCACATTTAAAAAATTTTTAGTGAAACGCAAATTCATTTTTATAAAATTTCTAGATTTTTAATAATTCACATCAAATCGCGAAGCTAACCAATAAAATAATATTGACTGAAAGCAAGTTAATTTAATTTTATGAGAATCTATAATATTTCATCAATTTATAAGAAGTCTAATAAAGAAAAATCGATAACAACCATCAAATAAAAAAATTCTCAATATTGTAATATTAGTTTACACATTGTATATTCAAAAAAAATTTTATTGAATAAAATACGTGTATTTGAGAGACCTATGATGGACTGTTCAGCGATGTCTAGCATTTGATCAATTGCGTGATCAGCTTTCTCTCGGGGAACTAAGGATTGGGGTATCAAAACAGTAGACTTTCTAATGTACGGGGCCAAAAATTTCGCCATGCTGACCGTTATGTTACCAAACTTCTTAACTATTTCATATAAATAGTATTTCAAATTATGGATATGTAAATCAAATATCGAATAGAGATTGAATTTCGATTTATAAATATATTTTTAATTTTTTTTGTTTAGCCTAAATATATTTTAATTTTTTTTATCTAGCCTAAATAAATTCGAAAATAATATGGGGTAGGAAAATATTGAATATCAAATGTATAATTATTGGGTAAAATAAAATAAAGAGAAATATGAGCAATATGATAGCCGTCAATCTGGTGAAGAATTTCCAGGGCTTTGATCTTGCAAAATATTTTGGCCATGTTCGGTTTGGGTTAAATAAAATCATGTGAATCCGTTCCAAGATGGGTAAGAATATTGAGTTCAAAAAAGTCAATCAAAATTTTTAAATATCATTTTAAAATCTCAATTATTTTTCTTTCGAGAAGATTTTTAAAGGTATATTTTATTCAAAATATACCAAAGCAAAAAATAGTAGTGTCATAATATGAATTATCTTTTTAATATTATACAATACATAATTCGAAAATATTAAATTAATATAAAAATAAATATGTCAAGGGACGGGATAATGGGGAGTGATCGATCTCCATTAAAATTGTAGTGATGTAATTCGCGATTTAAATCACCTATTAGGCCTGGGAAATCATTTTTTGGCCCTTTATCAAAAGCCTGGTAGTAAAATATTTGCCAGATCTAGGTCAAGCCCAAATTTGTATAAATTGAACCATGCAACATAATCTCAAACTCAAAATATTTATTCAATTATCTATATATTTATCAACAACTCTAATTTAATTATGCTTGTACCTTTTTTTAAATTCTATTTATTAAATATCATAAAATAAATAAATATCAGTGTTTAAAACCTGGACTAAAAAAAATTCTGTTTTAATTCTTATTTTTTTCTGGTTCGAGTAGTGTTGTTTAACAGATCAAATTAAGCCGATTTTTATAATTGGCTAACAGCCATAAAAATACTATGCAAGCCTGAAGATTTATTTTGTTAATCATAGATTACACAAAAGTTTGGACATTTATTAGCGAAATTTCGAGGCTTAGGCTTGAGTTAGCCGTTTCAAAAAAATCGGCGCAAATCAAGCCGTTTAACGCACCAGGTTCTAGTTCCTAAAATTTTAAAATCTTAATCCTAGTTTTGGTTCTTAAATTCGACGTGGCTACGAACCAGAGTCTGGCTCCAACTCTGATAAATATAAATATTCCCACTTCCTGATTTTTTCTAAAATAATTTTTTTCGTGTCTGTAATCAGAAATAAAGGATTTTTTCGGAACCATGTGTTGGACCTATATTCTATTGATAATGTTATAGCTCGCCTGGACGGTGGGCCAATTATGAAAAATTCTATTCCTTCTCCTTCAAAGTGTAAAAAAGAATTCAAGGTTTATATAATTTACCAGAATACTGAGTGACTCTCAGGGCCAATTTCGTGGTCTTGCGAGCAATGTAGGCAGTGCTCCTATAGACTGAGCCTATCTCCATTGGCTCGGCCGTGGGTTCCAGCTTGTCTTGGATTTTTTTAGAATTTGTGCGGATAAATTCGTCGGCTTTACCAGTGATGTATTGCACGTTTAAAGCGACCCATTCAGTGCCTACCGTTTTTTTAAATGTATATTAAAATGAGGATGGACTCTATATAAAGGAAATATTTATAAGAGAAAATTGAATTTAATAAAAGTCACTTATGATAAATTTTAAAAAGAAGGTAAAATTTCAGGGGTTTTCAAAAAATATAAAAATGATTAAAAAACAAGTTTTCTTATATTATATTAACTAGTTAAATTATTATGAAACCGTAAACTATGTTCTTGCAAATCTTGTCACCCAAGTCCCCTGTCTGGGTGGTTTGAGCCCCGATCCCAATATCTACCGGTTTTCCATATCTATCGCTGATCTCGCTCGCTTTTCCGCCGTAATCACTAGGACCGACTCTACCCCGACCGATTTCAACAATAGGCTTTTCAGATCTGATTATCGGTCCGTACTGGGTTTCCTTTTTAGGCACAACCAAATCCCCGAGATTGGAATCATCGCGGCCTGTTGGTGATCTTTCCCTCAAGTACTCCTCCGGGTCCATTTTTTTAAAAAGGGCCAGTTGACTCAGGGTGGTCTCAAACTCTTGCCGTAAGCTCTGGTCTATGGTGGAAGAAAGAACCAAGCCGACAAAGGATTCTAAAAGCGGAGAATTTTATAATAATGTATGAGGCTGAATAAAGAATAGTTTTAGGAATGATTAACGAGATATAAAATTGGAGAAGTTGAAATGAGGCACAATTATAAAAAATTAGCTATTATCTGCATATTACAATATATATAAAACAGAGAAGCATCAATAACCCTTTTAGGTTTATGCCAAAAATATTTATTTATTATTATATTTGGTGTTTTAAATTTTTTAAAAAAAGGCAGATAAAATTCATAATTATAATTTTTTATACCATTTATAATTTTAATTAATATAATTGAGAAATTTACAAAAAAATTTAAAAAGTAAAAAAAGAAATCAAAAACATTTTTTTCTTTCTTTATCGGTTTGAAAATTTTATAGATAATTTTTTTATAGATTCGTAAAATGAATGCAAACATTTTATTTCTAAGGGTAAATTATAATTTTTAGGTATCTGCCACTACCTCTGGCATAGGCGCAGGCTGATATTAAACCTGGGACCCAGAGTGAACCGTAACGAACCGTTAAACCATTATAAACACATATAAATATCTAAACCGTAACCGAACCGATATAATAATTTTTTGAAGAAGTAAAAAAAACCTTTAAAAAAATTTAAACCGGGTTGAACCAATTTAAACCAAAATAAAATAAATAATTTAACATTTTTTTCCTTGTGATTACATATTTTACCATATCTGCGTCGTTATTTATAATCATTAAATGATCAAAATATTTGTTTAATATCCATAAGAAGTATGTATTAATTTTCTTCACTATGACTTAAATTGAACCACAATCTTTTAACTGCTTCATATAGTATTAGAGCATTCCTATTTTTTCTATTTTAGTATACAAAATATCTAACTAACCAACCAATTTGTAGTTTTTGATGTATTTATTTAATTTAAATATATCACCACTACCCATGAGTAGTTTGATAGAAGAGTCATTATTCCCATATAAATTTCAAAATGACCAAATTTATAAAATTTTAATTTGATAATTTATAGATTGGCATAAGAGTATATTAGCATTCGTAGTTTAGCCTTTATTATGAGAAATAGATTTTGTGTTGTTATGAAATGCAAGTTTGCAAATTGTTCAAATCTGTTTTTTATATTATTTTTTAGGTATGACATGAGGGATTGTAAACAGGGATGTGAACTCGAACCCGGACCCTCGTATTTTGGCTGAACCCGAACCCTTTTCAAAAGTCGAGGGTCCAAGGGTTCTAGGTGTCATACAAATTTTTAAAAATAAAAAATTTTTTTAACTATTTTTGTGGAATCATTTATTTTATCTTCGTGTTTTTCTTTCAATTTTCTTTCTGGATTTCCATTTTATTTAGAGATTGATATATAATTTTCCAATGTGATAATATTTTATTATGTAAATTTATTAATATGCTATGTTATAGAAATACGTTGATTATTTTGAAAGTGAATTATTTTGTAGTACAAGTAATAATATTTTAATTTAAATGATAATGTACAACACGTTGGTCCTCAATTTGTATGATGCTAGAACGATTATTAAGTTTGAAATATATCTGTAATGATTTTATTATAGGTGCATGTGAGGTCATTTTGTCGGAAGATGATTGGTGCCAAATAAAGGACCTTACTAGTGTAGATGTTCCTTTAAAAATAACAATACTAAGATTACAATCAGAACAATTATGTTTATTTGATTTTTGTGGCATATGGATTAGATGCCGATTAGATTTAGAAAAATTTACTTTATACGAAATATTAGAAAACATGAAAATTCGAGAGCAACAATATTTGCAAAATAGTGTTGTATACGCTTCTATATATTTAGACCCTCGATATCAAGTTTTATTGAGTATTTAGCAAAAACAAATGGCTAAAGACCATCTTAAGGATTTATGGCATAAGCAAAACTCCATTATTTACAATATACTGGAGACTACGACAATACCTATTAGTTGTAGTGATAATAATAATAATGATAGCAACATTGATGATCTTGAAATTTTACTTTTAGAAAGAGAAAAAAAAATCAAATTATCATTAGATAGAAAGGAAGATCAAAAAATGCCTATTGTATCTTTAATAGTAAATTTCTCAGAAGTTAAGAGAATAAATAAGGATATAAATATTTTAAAATTCTGGGAAGAAAATTCTTCAATATATCCAGAATTATATATCTTATCTAGAATCTTCATGGCTGTACCGGTGACACAAGTACAATAATTTTATAAAGATAACTATCTATTTTAGGTAAGGGTAGAACGTGAATTTTCATCTTTGAAATATATATTGTCTACTTTACGTGGAAATCTTAAGGATGATATTTAGGATATTATGATTGTGCGAGAATAAAACATTTAAAATATAAATTATTTTATTTTTTCATTTTTCATTTGTAAATTATGAATATATATCGGAGTATAATAATAAATGAATTATTTGAGTCATTATTTTTATGTGCCTGAACCCGGACCCGAACCCGGGTCCTTTCAAATTTTATTCCTGTACCCGAACCCGGACCCTTTTTTTGTTAAAGGGTTCACATCCATGATTGTAATTATTAAACCAATAACATCTTATATGATGTGGCTTTGCAAATTAATGATGAATTCTAATTAGTTTATCAATATCATAATTTTATAATATTTGTCTGTTTTGACTTCATTTTTTTTGTATTTATTTTTAATAGAATTAGAACCATATAACTATTTTCCAAATTTTAGTATGCAAAATATTTAAATAACTAATTTTGCATTAGTTGCATCTATCTAATTAATCTTAAATACATCATGGGTATCAAAAAAATTTGAATATCCAGAATTATATAATTTGCACTTATAGTACTTGATGTTCTCACAACATAAGAAGGGTCATTTCGGGGCTAAAATTTGTGTTATCGTCACAATGAACAAATATGAATCCACTTATATTAGAAATATATTACTTATACGTTAGAATAATATATTTAAAAATGAGTTATAATTCTTATATACTTTTTTATATATTATTCATATATACTTAAAATAAAAATAAATCAATTTTATCTATTTTAAAAATATGTAAAATTACTAAATAAATAAAATATATATATTATAAGTAGGGGGTGGGACCAATACCAATATAATATTGGTTTACAATACCAATACCAATATAAACCAATATATAATTAAATATTGGTATTGTTTTTACAACCAATACCAATACCAATTACCTAAATATATTGGTTTTGAAATATTGTTTAAATACAATTTTAATACCAATACCAAAATTAATAATTTAAAATAGATAAATACATAAAATTATTTGGTTTTATCGTGGATAATTATATCGTGGTATATTTTTTTACTTTCATTCATAAACATATTACATCTGTTATTTCTTCCAAATATTCCTGTGATATCAATATTGGTGTTATTTATAATTATAGTTTTTTTTTATTATGGAAGTAAGTTTTCTATATGATATCTATCAATTTTATCTATTTATTCATTTAGGATATTATAATGAATGAAAACCAAATCGAGTTAATAAATATAGATAATGATGTTGATACTAATAATAATAGCGATAATGAACAAGAAGAATCAACGATATCTAATAAAATACGAAATACAGCAAAAATCTGGGAATTTTATACTAGTTGTGATAACAAAAAAAAGGCTATTTGTAAAAAATGTAAAAAAATATTTTCTATTCCCAATTTTGGAACCTCAGGATTATGGACACATCTTAAATCCATCCACCCAACTTTATATAAGAAATGTGAACAAATAAATAATGGCAGTAAAAAAATTAACACCATAAAATCATTTTTAATTAATAATGTAAATAATAAAGCTAATTTAAATAATTTAATTATGGACTTTTTTATTCAAAATAATTTAGCCTTTTCAATGGTTGAAAATGAGTCATTTAAAAATTTAATAGCTTTTGCAACCCCTCATTAACATTAATTTCTAGAAAAACACTTAAAAAAGAAATTATGAAACATTATCATAGTTCTTTTATCAATTTAAAATCTGTACTTTCTAAAATTACTTCTAAATTTTCTTTAACAATGGACATTTGATCCTCTCCAAATAAAATACCCTTTATGGGCATAACCATTCATTATATTGATAATGATTTTAAATTAATTAATCATTTATTCGATTTTATTCCTTTTAAATCAGCACATAATACTATTAATATTTATAATATTTTTAATTCTGTATTAAAAGTAAAATTTGAAATTGATTTTTTTTTGTATTACATTAGATAATGCTAGTAATAATTTAGCATTTTTAAAATTTTAAAACTAAAAGACAATTTTGATAATGTGTGCAAATGTTTTTGCCATATTATCCATTTGTCTATCATGGCTGCATTGGAACCTCTAAATCCAACTTTAAAAAAAATAAGAAATTTTTAAAAAAATTTTAAACTTTCTATATCTAAATTTAATAAACTTGAAAAAATATATCTTGAAAAAAATCAAAATTTAAAATTTCCTCACCCTATTTTGGATATACCAACACGTTGTAATTCAACGTACCAAATGCTCGAAAGGGCTATATTTCTCAAACCTTATCTCACAATATACCAATCATCAACAAAATACTAATGAAGAATATTATATTAGTGCCTTAGCTTGGAATAATATTAAAATATACCGAGAATTTTTAGAACCATTTAATTTTGCTACAGAGATGGCCTCATGTGCTAATACTCCATCAGTTTCAACAATCATTCCTTTATATTCCAGTATTTTTGAGCACGTTGAGAGTTATAATAATAATCCTAATGCTATTTTAAAGACAGCTTCATTAGCTGCCTTGACAAAACTTAATAAATACTATAATTTTAATAAACACCTATATATTATTTCAACAATGATTGACCCAAGGTTTAAACTATCAAGTCACTTATTAAAGCATAATAGTATAGAAACTCTTATTGGATGTCTAACCAATGAATATAATATTTATAAAATAAATTATTACAATTCAGCGGAACCTACAAATGAAACACAAAATAACAAAAAATTATTTTTTGACAAAATATATCAGGTTAAACCTAGTCACAACAATAATAACTTAGAAATAAGCAAATATGTGGATGAAGCCACAATTTGTAATGATACAAATCCATTAGACTGGTGGAAATTTAATAAAAATAGATATCCAATATTATCAAAAATTGCCAGAGATTATCTTGCAATTCCAGCTTCTTCATCTAGCTCTGAAAGGGCTTTTTCAGAAGGAAGGTATCTTATAACAGATCAACGTTGTTCACTAGATGAGCATACTATCCAAGCTTGCCTGTGCTTAAAAAGTTGGATGCGCATGAAGGATTCTTCTTAAATACATAAATTTTTTTCTTTATAATACAATGTTTTGCACTATATTTTATATAAATAGACAATTATGTTACATTTTTAGTGTATTCATTTTGCTATATTCTTTGTGCTAAATAAAAAGTTTCAAAATATACGTTTATTATTTGATTGGTTTGTTGATTTCAAAAATATATTAGTTTAAAAAAAGAATTTGGATTTAGTAAAATTTTGGGAGTTGGTTCTTAGCCCTGTTTTTATGGTAATGCTTCATGATTTTTTTTTCCATGTTTATTTAAAACTAGAAATTAAGAGTTTTATAATCACTATTTCTATTCTTTTAATTAGTAATTTGATTTAAACCAATACCAATATAAACCAATATATACCAATATAAACCAATACCAATAGCAATACCAATAGCAATACCAATACAAGAAATAGAAAATATTGTTTAAACCAATACCAATATTTTAGACCCAATACCAATACCAATACAATATTTTGTTTATATTGGGTTTTTAATATTGGTTCCCAGCCCTAATTATAAGTATCGAAGGCTCTAAAAAAAGCTTAATTTAATAATGATGTACCTAAAAAACAAGTATAATTAATTGTGTTAAACAATATATTAACCTAAGTGGTGGCGAAAATTTTAATAATAAATATACATAATTAAAATCATTATACGATGGTGTTGTTTCAATAAAAATAATTTTAAAAAAATTTTCAAACCGTAATGAACCTTTATAAAACTTTACAATTAGCTGAACCGAACCGAAATTTTATAAAAAAAATTACGAACCGTAACCACCATTATAACTTTTTACAACTGAACCGTAACCAAACTGAACCGTTTTAAATAAAGGCTAGGGTAAATATTGTCTCAACACAACGAATATCAGGATTAAGTAGAAAGATTGCTTCAATATTTCATAAATGATGAAAGGAGAACGTTAGTGTACAATAAATAAATGATGTTTTTAGAAATTAAATACAAAAATTAGCTTCTATAATATTAAACATACTAAAATATATAATTCGCATTTATATTTCATTGGTAATTCCTAGAAACCTTAATTTAAATTTACTTGAAATCTAGAATTATAAATCTAAGAGGAAAGATAATCAACTTGATTAAATTGTCAGGATTAATACTAAATTTTTGTTCTTTTCTATTTTCGATATTGAATTGACCAATTGTTTTTTTTAAATATTTTACGTTTAAAAGCTAAAAAAAAAAAAAAAAAAAAATATTCATAAGGTGAATTTTGTATTTTGTAAAATTTGAATTATTGATTGTTTTTTCTAGATTTGGATTTCGTCAATATGTACAATAGAAAGGTGATCGCCGCGACCTCTGCCGTAATCCAAGTAGCCTCTGCTACAAAATTAAGTGAGTCTCGCTCCCAAACTATGGCGTTAACCCAGTAGAAACACTGGCGAATTAAGATGCTGTGATTGTTGTTACGGTACAAACTGCAGCCATAGATCGGAAAAAGATTATTTTCGGTCTTCACAAGTTAAAATAACTAGGAATTTACTCAATTCTGTGGCAGAGCTATGCGGTTTTCATGACGAGTCTCGGAGAAAATCTTCTTTTGATTAAACACATTGGTGACATAAAAATTACAAAAATCACACGTCAATTAAACAAATAATTTATTATTAGACAAAAAAATTAATTAAATTTGAACAAAATAATAATTCACATTTATATAATACAAAAATAGTATAAAAAATAAAAATATATCTGCTGTAATATTTAGATGAAAACGAAAAATGTATTATTCAAATTAGAAGAATTATTACATATTTAAGATTACAGACTATGTAAATGATTATTAAAGAAAAGATATATAATTGCGATTTTGTGAATATTATATTTCTTAATTTTTATTTACCTTTAACCCTTTGCCTTTTAAATTTAATGTCTTATTATTTTATAATTATGTAATAAAGTGATAGTAAAATTATTTTATTTATATGTTTTTATATATTCTGAATTATTATTTTCAGTTCTTTCTAATTACCTCAGATTACTAAAATATCATTTTAGGCTAGATAGATATTATCATATAATTGATATATTTCTGAATTAATATTAACTTAATGTTAAATAAAAATCAATTGGTCAATTTAAAAACAAAATAAATCCAACATCTTAATAAAAAGGGAACAAAAGTAATGTCAAGATGCATAAAAATTTGTTAAGACTGTGTCCTAACCTATTTTAAAAAAATTTACAAAGTTTCACAACTTTCATAAATTTTTAAATTTTAATGAAATTGTATGTTAAATTTTTAAAATTTTCTGGAATTATGTTTATACATGTTATTATTTTATATTTAAAATAGATTATTTATTTATTTATATTAAAGTTTAGAAAGTTTGTAAATTTAATTTTTTGATGTTTTATATATGAATATATAAATATAAAAGTAATAAAACTAGAGAGAGAAAACGAAACTAAAAGAAAATATCAACCCTAATAATAATCATATTTTCAAAAAAAAAAGAAACTTCCAGAGGTATCCGTTAGATCTGGGAACATGTAAGCTCCTATTAAATCCTTGAGTACGGGTGATTGGCCAGGGAAGAGGGGATAAATCCAAGATCCTATATGAAGGACAGTGGGCGGAACCGTACCTGTCCTTCTAACGGCTGGTTCAATTTTAGTTTTAGCTGTTATGTCATCTCCCTCCACTGGGGTATCGTGCAGGTTTACTTCCGGCACCTGAGAAATGTCATTGACCACGTTGTTGTTTTTCTCGTCGATCTGATGAAAGTATAAAAAAAACCAAATTAAATTAACTGGCCATAAGACTGGCTAGTAAAGATATGCCTTTTTCAAATAGTAATACATTTAGTTTATGAATAAAATACATCTTGAGTTAATCTTCTCGTTCTGTGAAATTTAGGGAAGTGTGGATGTAACAAAAACAATATATGAAAATTTAAATAAAAAAAGAATATTTACCCATATTGACTAGAAGGTTAAAGGTACCCTTAGAAATTATAAAGTAATTCCACCCCCCTCCCTCCTCGGGTTAGATAGCATTATTAGAAAATTAATCCCAAATTTCTATATTACCACCAAATAATATAGGAGGCGTCACAGATGAAGCAAGAAAGGATCAAGATATTTCGTCAAAATAGAAGGATGTTGCAGAAGTTGAGATGAATAGTTGGAATACAAAAATTAATATACTTTCATAAAAATGAAGGAATATTTATAAAATGGAGAAAAAAATGTGATAGCTAACCATTTCCTTTAATATATTCTTTACCGTGATTTCAAAAGAACCATTTACATTCAATTATTCCTTCCCTAATTTAGATTCAAAATCACCTAGAGAATTGTTTGGTATGTTTTTAGATGAAATCATATTAACTTTGGATAAACCAAACAAAATTATGTGCTAGTCAAAAAAATTAAGATATTCAAAAAGATTTTAGATATTTACATTTTTTTACACAGTTAATTTAGCAGTAGTAGCTGCTTGGAGAATACACATTTCTTCATGTTATAATATGTATTGCCTTCAATTCCTATATATATTGTGCGATCTTTGATTAGAAATGCGCCATCTAAACTACAGACCTGGTACATCAAAATGACCGATTGGTTCTTAAAGAAAAGTAGAATCAAGTCATATGCCGCCGACCAATCATGTAAGTCGATGTAAATTGTGCAAATAAAATACAACTTATATGTGCAAAAACGTGATAAGCGAATTCGCTTCATTCAAAATGCTAAAAATTATTTAAAGCCTACTCTTCCCAATGTTCAATTTACGGAACATTAAAAAATCATGAAACAATAATATTTTTGAAAATTTCTTATTTATAATTTTAATATGAGAATGGTTAAAAATATTATTGCCATATTGCTTTTACCTTAGTCAACCTGAAATGGACTCCAGCTTACAATCATGATTCTAAGATCTCCTATATAAGTAACTTTTAATTTCCTCAGCGTCCAATTGGTAATCAAAGTATATAATATAGTTTAAACCTTAAAAATCTGTAATCCACAAGTTTCACCGGGGGAGCTAACGTTATTTTCTGAGTCTATGAAGAAGAGCTGGGCTCCGTCTTCAATGTTCAGTAGTAATTGGGCATTGGGCAAACCAATTGTCTTGGATTTATGGACAATTTTAGGAATCTTTTTGCCTTCGTGGTCATAGTAATCCTCACTAGAACTGGCTTGATCGGATTGGTCATTTTTCTATGATCGTGGCGATAATTTTTTTTAAATTGGTGTAAATTCTTATCATAATTGTTACATCTGAATATTTATTATTGTAAAGGTTAGGATATATTTTAAAAGGTCACGTTATATCATAATTGTTACATCTGAATATTTATTATTGTAAAGGTTAAGATATATTTTAAAAGGTCACGTTATATATTTTAAAAGGAGGTTATTTGTATATTATATTATAACTTTCCGATATTTAATATTATATTATCGAGGTTAATTAAATTGCATATTATTAGAAGTTAAATTGGATAATTATATAAATGTATATATACCAAAAGAATTACAAATAAAATTCATTATCGTTTTTTAAACTTTAATCGATTTAATAATAATATTTTTATAAACAATATTTTATTGAAATCTTGATGTAAAACACCTGGTGATTTTAATAATATATAGTAGAATCTATCTTATTTGGGCACCGCTTGGACCAAGATTTTTACCCAGTTTATAAAAGCGTTTTCTAACACATATTAGTTATTAGTAATTAGATTGGGAATCAAAATTTTTGTCAAATTATGGAATAATTATCGAAAGCCAAAATCATGCAATTTTACTCTAGTAACAATTAACTTCATGAACTAAGTATAATATTATAGTATAACAGCATTATTCTTAAATTAAAAAGAACAAAAAGAAGAAATAAATAATTTATCAAATAAGATAAAACTTTAAAAACAACGATTATGACAATTGTCACTTATCACTAAAATTTTATTTAAACATGTTAGCAATGCTTATTTTAGCCCACTTGCTTTAAAAAAATTCGAAAAACTTTAAAAAAACAACGATTATGACAATTGTCACTTATCTATGGTACATCTTCACTGAAATTTTAATTTAACATCTTTACAATATAAATTATATTTTTACATTTTTGTGTTATAAAAATTAGGTATATAATCCCTGAGGCCGAATCGGGTCCTGAATTATTTTTAATTACGACATGAATATTCTTATTATAATTTTATTCACATTAATAAGTTACCCAAAATTTAGCAATTTACCAGATTTTATAAAAAAACAAAAAAATTGAGCAGACCCAGCGAGTCGACTAAGTGAGCCGACTAAGTGATTCGGCTCCTTAATCGGCTTGCGGAGCCGTTTTTTACGACTACGACTCGACTTTTTAACAACACTAGTGGTTAGCCGAGCAACATTTTTCAGCCGAGCGATATTTAGTAATAAATGATTTATTATGTGGTTAACCGAGCGACATTTCTCAGCCGAGCGATATTTACTAATAAAATGATTTATAGTGTGGTTAGCCGATCGATATTTCCTAGCCGAGCGACATTTTCAGCCGAGCGATAAATAAACCCACAGCAAAATAAAATATAGAAGGTGGCTGAGTGGGAAGAACGTTTGCCTTTAAAACGTTAAGTCATGGGTTCGAATCCCGTGATGTCAAAAAATTTTCTTTCGAATCCCGTGATGTACAAAAAATTTTTCTTAAAATTTAACATTAGAGATATATAATCTCCATCGATTTATTTAACATTAAAATAGGAAAGTTGATAGAAAAAATAAAAATTAACATTAAGATGATAGGAAAAATGAAAATTAACATTAAGATTATACGAAAACGTTCATTTCTTGATTAAGGTGATTATATATATAGAAGATAATTCAAAACCAAATTTATTTTTTTTTATAAAAAAAATAATAAATGTGTTAACTTCTTGAGAATTTGTAGCACTCAGGTAGCTTCCCATTATCGAATAAGTAAAAGAAATTCAGGGATCTTGCGAATGATAATATTTTTATTTTTTTCACTTTTCGATTTCGAAAAGTAGTGGTGTATATATATATAATATTTATTTATTTAATAGCTTAAGGATTTTAAAAAAAATTCACCAATATTCAATTTGTGATCAAATTTTGTTACCGCTAAAATTTACCGTCAACAATTTAATTTTTACAAAAAGAGGTTACACAAAAAAATTGCGGAATCATTATATTGATAAATATAAATAATCAATATCGATAATTTCTGGCACACGCTTAGGTGTTATTAAGCGGTTTTTTTAAAAAAATATATATTTCTGCCAATAAATCTTATATATAATTAGGTTTTTTTTAAAAAAAATCGATAAGAACAACAAATCTATCCCACTTTTCGCTTAAATTACTTCTTTCGGCAATTTTCTTCTCTTATCCTTGTCTTTCTTTCAATCTTTTCTCACTCCTTTTTTTCGTATAAACCTAATCAATTTTTTTTTGGAGTACAACCAGAATCGATAAATTATGAAAGAAGTTAAGGAAAATAAAATAAGAGGCATGTTTTAAATAAGATTGGATTGAGGAATAAAACGGATGATTGGATGCAAAATAATCAAGTTTTTTATAACTCATAGATGAATGAAGCCATGGCATTGGTTGGTGTTAACAGGTATATATTTTTTTAAATATAAAAATTATATTATATGAAATAAATTAAGGAAAAAATAAAATTAGAATCATAATTAAAATGAAGTCAAAAATGTTTTTTTAAACCTACTAAACCGTCATCTTAATAAACTAATCACTAAAGCTAAAAAATTTACCCAAGAATCGCTAAAGGGAGAAAAGTATCAGTTAAATAAAATACTGAAAATGTAAAATATGTTAATATCTCTTGGTAAATTAAAAGATTGAGAGGTACTCCTACTAAAATATTGTAAAATATATATTATATAAAAACAAATCACACAAGAAAATTACTCCTATAAGTCTTCCAAACGTTCTCGTTGATTGTCTGACGGAAATTGACTGATAATAATAAGACTGTGCCGATCCACATATTTTACACCGATCCAGTCCGATGTTTTCGTATATTGGTTCAAACCCGATCCGATATTTATACTGATTTTTCATCACCCCCCTTTGAACCAAATGTAATTAAGAAATCAATATTTTTTATGCAAAAAATCGAATTATGCATTTAATTTTTTTTATTTCCACAATTAAGACTATAATTAAAAAAATATTATAATTATGTAAAATAAATATACATAACATAAAATAACAAAAAAAAAGAAAAGTAAAAAGATCGGATAGGTTTTTTACAGGTATCGGCCCGATCCGATATTTTTGGAAAACGCTAAATATCGGTGCCGATTCGATATTCAATATAGGTACAGCCCTAGTCCGGGTATACCCATATATGGACGTTGTTGCAATGTCAAAGGACTGTTGCGCTTGTATACCAAATCGATTCTCTTAAATATCCATATTTTTGACTCTTGTGTAACTTGTTGGTGACCACAAAGATCTCTAATATTCATTGAGGTGGGCATAGCATGTTTCATCCCAAAAAAATGTTTTACCAGTAATAAATGTGGCGAATTTTACAAACAGATTATTTATATCCCAAAAATGTCTTCGTAAATTTTTCCTAATGTGATACGGATAAATAAATAAAAAAAATATGCCTAAACCTCATACTTCGATGACGGTCACCTCATCATCTTGTAGGAGATTGTACCGTACCGGCGTAAAATTGTTATATAGATCCTCAGTTACATATCCAACATTTGATGAAAATCTTATATTGTTGAATTAAGATGGTAAGACATTTATAACTAGACCAATTCAAGAATTCAAATTGGTAAGATGGGATTGTATAAGTTTCATAAGAGACAAATGATATAAATATTCAAGAGATTAGGTATACAAGAGAAAAAGTCCTTTGACATGGTAAGAGCGTCTATAAATAAATATGCCCAGAATGATATTATCAGACACTTTCAGTCAGACACTAAAACGAGAACATATTGGAAAACTTATTATTAAAGGAGTAATTTTTTGTGATTTAGGATGTAGTTCTTTTCCAACATTTTTACATTTATATAAATATTTTATAGGCCCCTTTTGGACAAAATATTTTTTTATAACGCTTACTCTCAAAAATTTTGCATTTAAGTGTTTTTTTTATAAGTCCATTTTGTATATTATTTTTTGTGAAACTGTGTATTATATATTTTGTGTGCGTATGCTATTGGCTTGCTAAGGGTAGGTATATTAGTTTTGTATTATTATTTTTATATAATGATAAACAAATATCAATCATTTCTTAATTATAAAAAATATAATATATTGCATCATTCATTATTATTCTGGAAATAAAATTTTAAAAAGAAAAAAATACCTGACTTAATTATCCCATTCCCATTTTCATTTAATGGTGTTGATTAAAAAGGTGAACTATTTAAAAGATTTCTTATCACAAAATATTAAAAAGTCGATTGAATAAAGAGTGGCAAATCGACTGAAATAACGTGATTTTCGGACGACCATTTTTAAAATATGAAACCTTGGCATAAAGGTTAAATAGATTTTATATTTTATACAAATCAGAATTTTATTTCTCAATATATCCAGAGTTATGAACCTTAAAGTTCGGGAGCCTTTTCCTCTTTTAATAAATCTCTAATTACTCAAAATTTTTGATATAAATTAACAAATTATATATCATTTTGTAGCTCTCAAATATCTTCATGTCGTTGTATTTCCGGTAAAAAAGAGAAGGCCTAATTGAAACGATGAAACCGATATAAGTTTATTACCAATATATATATATATAAATAAAAATATTAATAGAGAAAATAAGAATTTAAATTATTTAGTTTTTATAATTTAGGAATATAAAAGATTATAAAGGGGGTTTAAAAAGATGAAATTTATAATAGAGAAAATAAGAATTTAAATTTTATTTAGCTTTTATAATTTTTGGAATAAATATATTAATTATAGAGGACGCCAGAATAGATTTTGGTTATTGGGGTAAAATAAAATGTATTTTCTAAAAAAATTCATGTATATATTATTATATAGATTAAAGTTTAAAAACAATAATGAATTTTATTTGTAATTCTTTTGTATATATATACTTTTATATAAATATCAAATTTAAATTCTAATAATATGCAATTTGATTAACCTCGATAATATAATATTTAATGTAGGAAAGTTATAATATTCTA